GTTGAGGACAAGAAGGAAGTCGAGGCTGAGCTCCTGGAGGAGGTGAAGCCGGTCGAGGCCGAGGCCGAGCCATCCACCAAGACGGAGGAGGTCAAGTCCACAGTCGCCCCTCCTGCGCCAACAGTCGAGGACGAGGTGCCCGAGGTCAAGCCCGCGACGAACGGAACCACGGCGGCTGCCCCCGAGGTCGCACCTGTGGCGGCGGCGGCTACCCCTGCGGAGCCCAGCAAGGCGGTCGAGGCCCCGGCTGCGGCAACGGCAACGGCTGAAAAGAAGAAGAAGAACCGGCTGAGCGCATTCATCAGCAAGATGAAGCACAAGGTTTCCAGCAAGGACAAGGCATAAACGTTTTGACATACACATACGTTGGGCGTGCTTATAATACCTCTGCTTGGACTTGCCTTTTGGTGCGTTTTTACTTTCTGGTGGGTTTTGACTCGTTGGGTCGGTTTCGGTTGGCTGGTTGTGTTTCCTCATGATTCCCCTTGGTTTGCGGGGGCGGATTGCAAAGTTTCATGGTTGTGTTTCTTTTTTTCCTGACGAGCATATCCCATCCATCATCATGTACTATACATTGGTGCCGAATGCTCTTTTTCGTCATGGGTGGCGTGCGTACTTCCGGCTAGGCTCTGATGGGGATGTGGACATTGTGCGTGTGCTTTTTTCTCTCCCACGTCTGTCTGTCTGTCCGTCCGTCCTTGCTGTAAACCGAAATCGTCGTCTATAATATTTGGAGTGATGGAGGGAGGAGGAGGAGGCGGGACAGAATGGTATATTGAATTTGGCTGACAGACATGAAGGGAAAGGATGGGGAGGGCCAGGAAAGAGGGAGGCGGAGTTGCTTATATGAGGGGGTTGTTTGGCGGGGGAAAGGGGGGAGGTTACGTGGATTGGGATGGGATAGGATGGGTTGATATATCCAGCCTGATGTTGAGGCCCTCGTTATACTGTTAATGTCTTGTTCGTCTACCTAACTTAGTTACTGGACATCTCTCTTAATAATATCTCATGATTGTCGACTGGGTGTTGGGTGCATGTAATGAAGATGGTATCTTGGTGAGCTTGGATAGGGCAGCTATGCCTGTTTGGGGTTTCAGTGTGCTGTATTTTGGTTGGTCAGGCAGGTCAGGTACCTTGGTCGGAGTTCAGATCAGCTGACCGGGTGCGTGCAATTTCACTAAAACGTGTCTGTGACCCGCTCTGGCGTTGTTAGGTGGCTGATCCGTCAGCTCCCGTCGCCTTCGAGTCGTCCCTTCCGTCACTCGCTCGCATCGTTGTTTTGCCCCGCGGCGATTCGCTAGAGGTGACTCCTCCTTCATCATTCTCCGCCCAGCTTCATGGGGTCCGGACTCTGGACCCCTTCCAACCATTGCAGAACCCTCCTTCCCTGTCGAGGGAAGCGACGCTGATGATATTTTGGTTTTGTTCTTGATTCCTTTTTTAACAGTTTTTGCTATTTTTCAACGATCACAAGCTCCGCATCCCTCCGGATGAAAGAAGCGGAAGGGAGACCGGAAACCCGCCCGCCCGAATCGTCGCTCTCCGCTGCACTCTGCACTCTGGAGTGACCTAGCATGCGTGAGGTACGCGCCCGTGGATCACTTTTAGGAGCCTTCGATCGCAACTTCCATGCCTATTGATTCACGGAGGGCTGATAACGAAAAGTGACGAGCGAATTGGCTACTGGACTCTCTGTCGCCCAATACAATACCGCGGAAGAAGTGCATTCGATTTTGCTTCCGTGTTTCGTCCTCCGTCCCTCGTCTTCCGTGTGCGCCCAGCCCCTGCCGAACATGAGCTCGACGTCATCGGTCACGGGCAAGTCCCTGCCTTCTTCAGCAACCATCAATTACTCGCAGGCCCCGTCGCAGGCCACCGCACCCGTAGCCTTCGATTCCAGTCGTCGGCAGAGCCCGTCAAACCCGCAGACTGCCCCACGCAAGGGCCAGAGTTCGAGGAATCAACATCGCAACCAGAAACGAGCCGGCCCGATGGGGCAACAAGGCCGTGTCGACGAAGACGACGCCATGGCGGAGATCCGCGCCGTGCGGAACCCCTCGAGCCGCCGCGGCCAGACCTCCATTACCCACCTGATGAGCTACGCCGCCCCGCCCCGTCACTACGACAGTCACCACGCCCTCTCGTCCCGTTCATACCGTCGAAACCCGGCATGGGGCATGGGCTCGGGTTACCACGCCGTCGACAAAGCTCGCTACGTGCATGCCAACTACCGATTCGTTGTGTCGCCCACCGGCAACTATGCCTCCCCAGCCGTCGACGCTGACGAGCACCTCGAGTGGTCGGATATTCTCCAGGTCATTGCGTCAGCCGAGTCGCAGCAGACATCGTGCCCGATATGTCTCTCTGAGCCGGTTGCGCCTCGCATGGCAAAGTGCGGCCATATTTTCTGCCTGCCCTGCTTGATCCGTTTTATGAATTCCAGCTCAAACGACGATCCGCATGCGGCGGAGAAGAAACAGCAGAATCGGTGGAGAAAATGCCCCATTTGCGAGGATGCCATATACCTTGCCGAGGTTCGGCCTGTACGCTTCTATGCCGGTCAGGAGAGCCGGCTGCCTCGGCCGGGCGACGATGTCGTTCTCCGGCTCATGATGCGAAACGCCCAGAGCACATTGGCGCTCCCAAGAGACGGATGCGCCGAAGTGCTGAACTCTGGTGAAGATGTGCCGTGGCATTTTGCTGCCGGGGTCTTGGACTACGCTCGGATCATGAAAGGCACGGGTGACTATATGGCAGAAGAGTTTGACCGCGAGGTCGAGGAACTGCTGAAGCAGGAGAAAGAAGACGAGCTCCTTTTCCACGAGGATAACGAGTGGACTCAGAAAGCCATCAAAGCGGTTGCAGCGGCAAAGGAGAAAGTGAAAGGCTTGGGTGATGCTGAAACCGCAGTCTCGGCACTCGTTGCCAAATCCAGCCAACCAAAACATAGCGAGCATGACTTCTTCTTCTACACATCGCCGCCGCACCTCTACCTCTCTCCGCTGGACATCCGGATCCTGAAGACTAGATACGGCTCGTTCTCCGCCTTCCCATCCACCCTTCTTCCGACGGTCGAACATATATCAACCGGCCACGTAGTAGATGACGTTTTGCGGAAGCGTGCCAAATACCTCGGCCATCTCCCCTACGGATGCCTTATCAGCTTCCTTGAGTGCGACTGGACCGACATTGTCCCAGCCGAGACCCTGGCGGCCTTCGCCGGCGACATTGAACGTCGACGTAAACGGAATAGAGACAAGGCAGCACAGGAGGAGCGTGAGCGCTTGCAAGCGGAACGGATCGAGGCGGCGGCGATACGGTCTGGAAGACGGAACCTCGGCGCGGTGGACGAGGAAGTCACGGTGCGCTTTGGTAACGCGGCGCTCGAGGATCGACCTGTCGATATGAACGATTTCCTGCCCCTCGGGGCCGAGGGAAGTACGCCCCCGAACCCGCGGCCTGGTTTCGGTCACCTTTCGGAGGTTAGTACTAGCCCGTCGGGCTCCAGAACGGTCTGGGGAACACCTGCTGTGGCGGTGTCGCCGAGTCTGGATCCTACGCGGCTGCTGCCTGGGTCAGCGGTTGATGATGGGTGGCTTAGGGATAATGATGTTCTGGAAAGTTTGGATGCGGCGGATATTGCGGGGCAGATGGAGGCGTTTGGGATTGAGAATGGGGTTGCTGGGCCGAGTAGGACGCCGGCTGCTGCTGCTTCTGCGAATGTGGCTGGCGGTGCTGGTGGGAAGAAGAAGAAGAAGCAGAAGATTACGCTGATGAGTACGGGAAGTAAGAGGGGAGACTTTTGAGTGGGATGGGTAGAGTCTGGGATCCGGCGGGTGTATGTGGGCTGGAAGCAAGTGCTGAACCCTCATCATCTAAGTAGGTACTTAGCTTAGGGGGGAAGTGGCGGCGCCTGGCTGCCTTGATTATCTTCTGATAAAGGCCAGGAAAGCACGGTAACCGGCTACCGCACCGAGAGAGTCCAAGGATATCCGGCGGCGGGGGTGTTTACAGGAGATCGATCAATTCATGATCACCCGGGATCTTCGAGGTGCAGGGAGAGGTGGCGCAGTGGTGAGATACAGCGGCCGACTTGTCATAAAGCGCAGTCGCGTAAAGGATTTGTCTAGCTGCTGTCTTTTTTTCGATAGTCTTTTTCGCGCATCGTTCTGCGGGATCTATCTCTGGCGTTTACCATACATGTACGTAGACAGACAGACAGTGAACAGATTACAGATGAAGAAACAGAAATGAAGATCCATGAGGCAAAGAGAATTTGTTGTGGGGTTGTGAGGTGTACGTTATCTCTGATGTGTTAGAGGGCAAGTTGGTACGGGACATGCGGTTATCAATCTTGGACAGGATGCAGGGTCGCCAGCCCAGTTGCCTTTCGAGTTGGCTCTGAAGTTGCCTGCTGCCCGGGGTGCAGTCAGCTTTGTGGTGTGACTTCCAGGTTGCTTGATACCGACTGAACTTGGTCTGGTTGTATGCGTCATTAGGGTCTCGAGGTCTGAGCTAGATCATATATAAGTGGAAGCGGGCGGGGAGTCATCCCTCCTCCGACACGATTACAAACACTCGCCTTCGCATGAGGGTTCTTAAATTTGGGGCACTTACGGCAGAGATCGCTTACACCAAAGACAACGAATGATTATCTGCGGAAAGAACAGCCTATGGTCAACAGAAGGCGGCGTGCATTTCGTTCGTGGACTCAGTTATGATAAAGCCGGACCGCTTGAGACGCGTTCGTGCTCATGGTGATTAAATGACTGGGTACATGTAATCCCTATAATAGAGATTATGCCATCTATTTACCACACAAATATATGTCGGCACTTCCCCTCGGGCTGTGGAAAGCCCAAGTTAATTGTTGGTGATCGTGTGTTGATATCCCTGAAGCTTGGCTGAGTGATATGGAACCATCCCCTCCCCCACCCCGCTCCACCTTAGTGCCGCTTACCCGTCAAAACTGTATCGAAAACCAAACAACATCGAGTACAGTCACTTTGGCGGAGTGGTTAACGCGTTGCCCTGCTACTTAACACCTAGCAAGCCAGGCAATTCTTTCGAGAGCACAGGTTCGAATCCTGTAGGTGACGATGATTCATTTTTTACACTTACGTTACGTGTGATTGTGTAGAAAGCCTTTTAAGGTTCTGCTAGGTTGGGTGGTTTTAAAAGCGCTTGGTTTTTTGGTTGTTGAGTGTGTGGGTGAGTGAATCAGCACTGGTGGCTAGGTGGCGCTGACATCCAATTGGGGGGAGGGAGGGAGTGTTTGACTGACTTCCTGTTGATTCGTTATTTACCACTACCCGTTTCCTCCTTGCTCCCATTTCTCCCTCAATCCGAACGGGAACTTGTTCATCAACATGATATTTCACGGTATCTCGAGCACTGTGACTTTGTTTGTTTCCATCGCACACACGGCGCGCGAGTACTACCTCGCTAATCATGTGGTGTCAGCTTCTCGTTAGGACTAGCGCATTATTCACATGGTACCACCTATCCCGTAGTAATTGAACTGTGAACCAAAACGACGAGCAAACGATTGCTTATCTAATTAGTGACGGAGTTTGATGCGTACAGAACCCATATCGGCTAATTTTTGCAGACACTGGGGTCTGGGAGAGAGTGTTTTGTTCATCCATCCCTTTTTGGTTGCGTCGATGACATCATGAACCAATGACATCATCGCGCTGCGTGTAAGTGAGGAGAGTCGGTCGAGATGTTTTTCACACATCTACATCACAAAGAATGCTTGTCTTCCTCGCCCGATTCAACATTCACTTCCTTCTAAATTCTAACAAAAATCAACAAGACGCTGGTCTGTAATCACCGCAATACATAACCAAGTCAACTGGCAACTCCGTATTTTCCGGCGGCTTTCAAACATCCGCAAATCACACATCCACCAACCCAACTCGACAACATGTCAACCCACAACCCGAACGACGGCCAAAAGGTGAGTTTACAGAATTGGTTACCCGTATCTTCTCCCATTCCCAGACAGATCAACCCCAAGATCCAAACACATACTCACCGTCCACTCGACAACCTTAATTTACCGACTGAACCCCCCTCCTCATCATCCAAGAAACTAATTAACCCCCAAAAGGTCACTTCAACCAAAACCGCCCCTTACAAAACCGAAGGCGCAGGCGAAATCCCAACCTCCTCCCTCGCAGCCGACTCGATCCGCGCAGGGGGCGTCTTCGCCTCGAACCGCGGCGCCGAGGTCGGCAGCGGAGCCACAGAAGACACACGCGCGCGCGCCCCCGGGACAAAAGACAGCGCCTTTGCCGGCGTCGAGACGCAGACAGCGTACGCCGGCGCAGCGCCCTCGTATGTTAATGTCCCGGTGGCTAAGGGCGGGCCGAAGGGGGCAAATTTGACTGAGGGCGGGTTTGCGGGGAGTGGGACGGGTGAGGGGGCGTTACCTGAGCCTGGGAGTCGAAGGGATCCGGCTCGGTTGGCAGAGGAGAATATGGGGCTTGGGAGGATGGAGGGGAGGACTTCTGGGGGAAGGGCAGGGGGCGAAGGGGAGCAGCCTTTTGGGGCGTTGGAGAGGGATGAGAGTTTGTGATGGGATTCAATTAAAGGTGGTGGGTGGCTGGATGGTTGGTTTTGAGGGGGGATTAATATATGTTTTTTAGGAATTGAGTTTCTGGATAGGAGGATGTGACATGAAACTAACCGTGACTCGTCCATTCTGTTGTATTCTTGTCCTAGTACCTAACTAGGATGAGAGAAACACGGTAGGGGATATATATAGATGCATATATATCGAGAGAAAGGAAAAAAAAGAATACGTTGATTACGAATTAAGACTGTGTGTGTATCTATCTCTATCCTGCTTAAACGAGGTCAATGTTTGTTGCCCCTTTTTCTTCGGGCAGTGTAATTAACTGCTTGCCCTATTAGCCCACCATGCAACCCAGCCAGGTTGTCATCCGGTGAGCTTAGGTAGGCAACCAAAGTGACCGATCAACACAAAGCAAACAAGTCCTGTCTGGAGTTCAAAGAAAGATTGGAATAAAACTTCCAAGTATAGGTAGCGTCGTCGTTGCGTTTCTTGTCGAAAATTTGAGTTGAGAAGCAAGTTTCAACACCTTCACGTCCCTCAAAGCACGGCCACGACAACACCGGCCACAGCCACCAAGACCCTGCCGGTGTTCATGACGAGGTCGGCGGCGGCAGCGTTCTTGGTGATAGTAGCCGCGGCTGACGAGCCGGTGCCCGTGGCTGTGCCGGTGGCGGCGCTGCTGTCGGTGGCCGTGGCTGTCGCCGCGATCACGTCGGTGGCCTGGCTGTCGTCGGTCTTGCCCGTCGACGTGGCTGCTGCCGAGGCCAAGGTGGTGGCGGCGGAGAAGGCCTTGGTGGTGGCCGACGGGAACTGCGAGGCGTAGCCGCAGAAGATTTGCTTCTGGCCCGCGGCATCGTCTGTGTTTGTATCGTGTTAGTGTGTATGGTGGTTAGGCAGGTGTGTGTTTGTGTGTTGTGGTCATGTCACGGTTGGTAGGTGACTTACGCAGACGGGGATCATTGGGGCAGTTGTTGTAGCATCTGTCATCGCGGTCAGAATGGAAGTATGTCGGCGGTGATCATAGGCACCAGATGATAGAAGGGCACATACGTCAGGATGTTGCCGTATGCGGCGCACTGGCAGACATAGTCGCTTGTTGCACAACCCGCAAGCTTTGCGTTCTCAGTACCGAGACAGGCCTCGACGATATAAGCGGCACCGCACGCCGTGGTGCTCTGGCCTGCAGCGGCCGCGGTCACGGCCGCGGAGAAGATGGCGACGGGCAGGAGAATGGTGGCCTTCATTGTTGCTGTGTTGATACCAGTGTTCGAGCTTCTGTCGGGGCTTTTGTTTATGCCGCTTCACAGGTACGGGGCGTAACGAGGGTTCGGTTTAATAAAATGAATGGAACTCAACAACTGCGGTTGAAAGGATGGCCCGAAAGGAGAGAGATCGGGAGGAAATGATGCTTGAGCAAGGGAAAGGAAGGAGAGGAATAAGCAAGTACTCTTTTTTTTTTACGCCAAAGGACGGGCGTGGTTATGAGTGGATTCGAGTTAAACTTTGGAGTTAACCGGGGGAAAGATGGATATGAGCGAGTGTGTGATTATGACCAGAGAAAGAATGGGGGAGAGAGAGAAAAAAAACGACGGTGGGATCGCAATGGGGACTGGAATGCCCTCTCGCACTCGACGGTTCTGTCTCACCGGGCAACTAACTGGCTGCCCGAGGGACTGTCTGCGTGTCTCGCAGTCTTTTTGGGCCGAGCAGGGGACTGGGGAGTTCGAGTTCGAGAACACGGAATACCACACAGGGGGGAGGAGAGAAGCGTTTAATTATCAATAATTGATGGTGAATTCCTAACCGCACGCTCCCCCAATCGCCAAGCCACTCGCCATTCAGACTTTCCCGGCCACCGCCATGCATTGTGAATGCATTCTAGACAGACGGGCCCGGGCCTAGATTGATTATGGCTTTCAATGTACGTAGTACATGGCCAGCCACCGGGATCGTCATCGTCGTCCAGCAGTGTCCGGGCTGGGTGTTGAGGTGGCGGGCCGATCGCGAGGTTTGTGCATTGGGAAATAGCCGTGGTTGTGCGGGTGTCTTTGCTTTTTTTTTTTGTTCTCTTTTTCTTTTTCATCAAACTCATGGTTTGATTGCCTCCGTCTCTCTCCTTGCGCCTCCAGTCCGCTACGGCACGGGCGTGCCCGATCTGTCAAATGGTCCGAGAGCGATTTGGTGAAATGAATTGAGGTCGGGGAAAATGAGGTGACAAGAAAAGCTAAAATAATTGAGGCAAGGGGGAACACACGCTAGCTTGCACATGCTTAAGTTTAAACTCATGCTCAAGCTCAAGCTCCCTCGTGGCACGTCAGTTGTCCACCATGGCTGTCAAATTGGGGGCGAGCGTAGCGTGAACCATCTTGAACCACTGTCAACTCGATCAACCGGTATTTTTTGTTGTCGTTCCAAGTCAGTAATTTTCTGCTGTTTTTTTCTCCTCGTCTATTTTTCTTATTTTTCTGGGCATCTTGGTTCCTCCCTCCCTGAATTGTGGATGGATGGAAGTTGAGGTTGGACAACTTGAGCTGAGCGCCATCAAAAGAGACGGACTACGTGGCGGGCCTTGGCAATTTCCCCAGTGCAGCGGCACTCCACCGATCACCCCCTGTACCTGAGCCCACCCAGCAAAAGCTTTTGAGATCTGCAGACGAGCCGGGGCCGAGCAGGAACGCTAAATTCAATTGGAATGGATGACTTTGGGTCCCTGCGGCCTGTCGAATGCAACGGCCATGAACTTGTTTTCGAGCCTTCACCAACTTAATCCCTAACGCAGATGCATTGTATTGGTATTCTTGGTCAAAAACAGACCTAGGTCAGACTCCAGCCATCGGTCAAGGTAAGCCTGTAGAAATGCACCAAGCAGCCACAGCTACAAGCCGGCGCATCATCATTCTCATTCACCGTCATCATCATCAAGCCCAGGACAACCCCTCCCTACCACCTCAACTTCAACTCCCACTCCCACTCCCACTCCCCCCGCCATCGCCATCTCGATTCTCCCAATACTGGTCCCGCATGGTCTCAATCTGCGTCTTGAGGTCCGTATTCTCGCGCTCCAGATCCACGACCTTGCCCTCAATCTCCTCCATCCTCTCGGCCGCACCGACGCTCAGCTCCTCGACGATCTTGACCAGGCGCCACAGCCGGAGCATGATGACAAGCGATCCAATCTCCTCCAGCACGCCGCGCGCAACAATGTCGATGATGAAGCTGGCGATGATGACGAATGCGTCAAAGCAGTGAAACCACTCCTGGAAGAATCTACGTTTATTGTTAATCTGATCAGCCCCGCGTTGCTAACGGGGAATGGAAGTTGGCAAAGAGTAACATGCAACTCACCCTAGCCCAAAAGCCCACACCGTAACCGCCAGCTCGACAAGAAAAAGACAGCTGAAGATAAGCCCGACAAAGTACAATGCCTCCTTCGCCTCTTCCACCCACGCTTCCTTCTCCAGGCCCAGGTCGCAGGTGATCAGCCCGATGAAGATGTCGGCGAGGATAGCTGCCACG